TCAGGTAATATGCCAGTGCATTCACAAAAACAAACAAATAAACAAAAACAGAAAAGAGGAGTAGGAGGGACACCTGCACAATGTAATTTTAATTTGAATTGTTGTTTCATGTGCTTTAATATTCATCTTAGCTTTGTTCTCTGATTTTTTTTCTGTACTACAGGTGTGTTATTCCTTGTTGTTTCCATCCCTCTGTTTTAAAATCTATTTTCACTGGATGAACAGACACCTTTGATATTCTAACAGAAGCAAATGTGCAGCAGTTTCTCTCAGCATTTCACGCATCTGTGCTGTCTGAACCCTTTAAGGGTACATTTGTCGAATTGTGATGCGAAAACAAAGCCCTTCAACTTTCCTTTTATCAATTCCTAACTGTGTTTTAATTAGATTTATTATATTATGACAGTGACTTTTATTTATTTTATATTGCGTTATACCACTTGGGTTTCACATCTGTTTTCTTCCATCCATCGTCTTTACCCGCTTTTTCCATTTTGGGTCACAGGGTTCCCTCTGTTTTGCTATTTAACATTAGTATTATTATTATTATTATTATTATTATTATTATTATTATTATTATACCGGTATTAATAAAATTATTTAAAAAAAAGAAAATTAACCATCACAGTTACAGAGTAAAAAGTAACCTGTGACTTTTATTGTAGGAGTGAGTATTAATTAGTACAGTTCATGCTAAATAGTGAGCTTCAATGCAAGAACAGTGTCTTATATCTGTTTTTTATTTTATTTTAAATCCGCGACGTAGTGACCTTGTATTTTTTTTGTATTTATATATATATATATATATATTAAGGCTTTAGAAACCCTTCCCACACTCTTGCAATGTTCTAATCTCTTAAACCTACTCATTTTAACAACATACGTACAATATTGTATATGTAGTTACTAAATTTTACTCACCAGCTCTGCTGAACAGCAACATCTCTCGTTCTGGTTTGATTCAGTTCTGTCTGACTCGGTTCTGGTTCGACTCAGTTTCGTTTCTGCAGATGAACCCTGCACCGATGAAGCCTACAATCAGTCTTCTAAACATTTGAACTACTAATTTTAACAACATACGTATATGTAGCTACTAAGTTTTACTTACCATCCTGTCCCTGTTTGGAGGTCCTCGTCGGCTGGTAGGAAAGAGATGAAAAAAGTCCCAGCAGGCTCCATATGGATCGCCGGACTTCAGCGGCACGCATCCCGCTCGGAAGTCCTCATGGGCTGACTACGAGCTGTCGGTTCACCACTGAGTCTAGGGATCCAGTTTTGGTCCAGTTCCATGGGTTCCGTGCAGCTCTTTCCTTTGAGCATTCAATTTTTATTACTAAATTATTACAGTGACAATAAGCGCCAAACTTTTTTGGATCAGATCAAAACTTTCCCTGTAGTTTTTCAGCAAAAAGAAACTGAGCTTCTAAGTGGGGCCCTGTTGGCTTCTGGGTAATGTGGTCATTATGAGTAGGAATACAGTGGAGGTTTATTGAGAGAAAACTACAAAATGGCAATGCCTATCCGAAGTATTTTATTTTTTCGTTAACTTTTTACTATACTGTATCCAGTACTGTCCCAATCACGTGAGTAAAATAAAAGTTGACAATCATGTGTCCTGTACATTAACAAAAAAGTGTGCTGACAATCCACAAAATAGCAAGTCTGTGAAAGTCAAACCACAAAGTAGCGAGGGACTACTGTATTTAAAATACACAGTGATTACTTTATAATGGTTCCCTTATTACACCAGGTTTGTTTTCTGTTTCTTTTATAAACATCATCCATCCATCCATTATCTTTTACCCGCCTCTTCCTTTTTGGGTCACGGGGGTCGCCGGTGCCTATGTCCAGCCATCACTGTGCGAGGGGCGGGGTACACCCTGGACGGGTCGCAAGTTCCATCACAGCGCCTAAACAACATCATTATTTTAAAATAAAAATAAAAAAATCCTCTGTCATAAAATATAAAAATAAAGAACTAAGAACTTTTCTTTGAGATAGCTCAGCAGTTCTTTGGCAGCACTTTTGCAGCAGGAAATGAGCAGATTTAAAGGAGTAAACACCTTTGAGTTCAAATAATCCAAAACAAACAAGGCTAGCATGAGCTCACATCTGTGCTCATTCTTCCTCCTCCAGGTTTCCTTGACCCAACTGAAGCCCATCATTATTTTAACCACCACCCCACTCCGACACGCACACATAGACACACAACCACACACACCAATGTGTCTTTTAAGATGTTGTCTTTGAGCCAAGTTCATAATAAGCAGCTTGATTGATTACAGCTAATTCTACAAACCCCTGCAGGATCTGTGTATGTGAGTGTGTTGCTTCGTCCTGACACTAATTGTGCGCTGTGACATGTTTGTGTGCGACATTTTATTTTGCGTGACTTTGACTGAAGCTCTCAGATGAGGAGCCAATTGATTGAGATGGCCTCAATTAGTCTCTGTGATTAACTTAGTGCGATTGGATACCGTCCCCAGTATCCATTATTATCCATTATTGACAGGCTAATTAGTTGCTGCAGTGACCGTTTAAACACAGCTGATTGTGTGCGACAGTCAAATGACCCCACAGCAGCCAATTAAGGAAACCTTTAACATGTGGATGTGAGCCTGCAAGGCTGTTTTTGAAAACATTTATCTTGAAAGTGGTGTTTTCAGAAAGTTTTACAAACAGCCAGAACAAACATAGATTCTGCAACACGACTGCAAATGTTAGTTGCAGTGATTGTGATGGATATTTACTGAGCAAGTTTAACAAAGCTGATCTTTTCCAGGCTTTGACCAGAAAACATTGTGAAGACCTTAAATTAATGATGCAAAATGAAACTAGAAGTATTGCTAACATAATGGTTAAAGCATGAAATTGTAAATTATATCAGGAACAAGTGCTCAAGGGATTTTAGGTTGTATAAAGATAAAGCAATGGTTCCCAACTCTGCTCCTTGAGGAACACCATCCTGGATGTTTGTTGTTTCTCTGCTCCAACACACCTGAACCAGTGGTTTAATTACTGCCTTAAGTTTGGCAGAAGCCTGTTAATAACCCTTTCATTCAAATCAGATGCGCTGGTGCAGAGGAAAAACAAAAACATGCAGGATGGTGTTCCTCAGGGACAAGGATTGGGAACCACTGGATTGTATTTATTTTTCTTTTTTTTTTATTTCTTTTTTAAAATGGATTATTTGTTGCCTTTCCTCACTTTCCTCACTCCTCACTTTTCTCACTTTGACTGGTATGTGCTGCTGATTATCCATGCGGCTGATCTCATGCTGCTGATCATTTCATGCTGCTGCATTCATTCGTACTCATCTGCTCACACAGACTCTTGTTTGTGCTGCTGCTGTTCGGCGTATTGGTTTGCACTATTAGTGTTTAGCATATTTCTTAGTTTATATCTTAGATCCTTATTACTGTTTCTTTGTAAAATTTATATTTTTGTTATTGTTGGATGTATCTGGGACCCTGTGTACACAATGTCGTTCCACCTCCTGTACCACATGTTATGAAACGACAATAAAACCTACTTGAACTTGCACTTTAGTTTAATGTTTAGGTTTAAGTAGAAGGTTTCATCTTGCTTCTCTCAGAACAGCTTGTTCACTTTTAATTGTCTCGTTTTTTTCTCTTTGTCTACTTAGGGCTTAACTTGTTTGTTTTTTTTACTCCACACCATTTGTAACCAAAAGCTCAATTTGTTCTCAACAGAACCTTCTTCTTTCCTCTGTCTCAGTTTTATTTTTTGGGTTTTTTTTTTGCTTTGATATGTTTTAAAATATATATTTTGACAACACTTCTGAAGGCAAGGCAACTATTCAAGGATTCAAGGTTCTTTATTTGGCATACACACCACATGAGGTACTTGTGGTGGATTGAAATTGTGTACACAGGGTCCCAGTTACATCCAACAAAAGTATTAAAATGTAAAAGAAAAACAGTAATAAGATCTATAATATGAACTAAGAAAAACGTTGACTAAAAATACACTAAGCACTAGTAGCATAAAACAAAAACTATATGCTGAACAGCAGCACGAACATGAGTCTGTGTGAGCAGGTGAGTACGAATGAACACAACAACTTGAAACAAATCAGCAGCATGATGTGATTTTTTTTTTTTTTTTTTTTTTTAGATATTCATGAGTCTAACAGCCTCAGGGTAGATGCTGTTCCTCAGTCTAGTGGTTCTACACTTAATGCTCTTTAACCTTAAAGAGTGGGGCAAAAAGTGTGTGTGCTGGGTGAGTGTGGTCCTTCATGATGCAGGTGGCTCTCTTCCTGCATCTAGAGGTGTAGATGTCTGTTATGGTGGGGAGGCTGATTCCAACAGACTTCTGTGCAGCATTCCTTATTGCACGTTTCTCTAAATGAACTCTCCAAACAATTTAGATTAAATAGAATATCAATTAATTTGTTAAAAATATTTTTTTTCAGAAAAAAACACAAAATACATAGATTTTTATAAGAATATTCAGGAAAAAATAAAACAAACTAAAAAAGACCTAAAAACACAATTTCAATAGCAAGTTAGTTCCTCAAAAAAGGACATTTAGCTGAAAGAAGTTTGTTTCGTAAAAGACATTAAACTATAAAATGTAAAAGCTTTCAGTTACAGAGTAAACTTAAAGAATGCAACTTGGTGATTAGACTTTTTTCACCCTTGCATCTCCCTCCTCATTAAAACTTAATGCATTTGTTATTAAACATTAAAGTCTAGCCCAAGAAAATGCAGACATCCAAAGCTAAATAAATTGGAAACGTATCTAATAAAACAAACCAGAGACACGAGTTAATTTGAACTGAGAAGCCGATGCAGTTTTAATGAGAAATTTGATCAAGAATGTAATATGCAATAAAGCAATGCTTAATTAGCCATAGCTGCTTTGTATTTGATTAATGTAAAGCCTGTTGCTAGGATTTAACGTTATTTAATTTTTTGACTGTCTTAAACTCAGCGTAATTATGTGCTGCAATGAACTGTTTCTTTTTGTTGTAGTTCTCCCCAGGGAGCCTGTGATCACCTGTCGGTCCAACACCTACCCTAAAGGTTTCTACTGCAACTGGCACCTACAGCATCCAACGTACATCCCCACAGCCTTTGAAGTGGACATACAGTAAGTCTGCGTAAAATATATCCGAGTGAAACGTGTGGATTTACGCATGATTTCCATGCTTATGTTGATGTTAACTTTGTTGTTTGATCTACAGTATTCCCTGTTGCTTACTTCACATCAGTGTAAGAATGAGAAAAGGCAAGCTCCCAAGCATTGACAGTATAACTTTTAACTAAAATAACATATAAAACAATCACTCTGAGATGTTTATAAGAAGTGTTTTGCTCTGTTTAGACCAGCTTAAACAGTGCAGCAGATGCTGAAAAAGCATGTTTACTTTAAACAATCACAGAGCTTCCCTGTTTACACAGCAGCATCTGGATGCTGCGCTCATTAATATTATAACACCAATATTATAGTTTAAATAATAATTAGGCCAACGGAGACTGGAAGATAATGACAATAACAGTAAACTGTATAGTCCGTGGAACTCAAGGAGCAGACTGGCATGGAACCACAAGGGATGCCTTTTTAAATATTTTACACACCATCGGCTTCTCATTGTTCAGAGCAGCTCCTTTGTAATCTAAAACAGGACTTTAACTGTCACTCGTAACTCCCAATTCTAGTTTCTGGCATCTGGCTTTTATCTGTGATAAATTAAGTGTTCCATTAAGAGTCATTATTGACCCGCTAATCTTGAATGAATTTAGATTTGCTGACTTCAAACGGGCAAACTGCATCTGTACTTTAAGCTGTGGTTAAACATAAAGGCAAATGAAACATAAATTGTAAAACAGGAAAATGTAAATACAAAATTGAATGTACCGTATTTTACGCCGTAAACGTTGCACCGCCCTATTAGTCGCATCAGTCCAAATATGTCTAATAAAATGGAACAATCCATAAATATGTTGCTTCGCCTCATACGTCGCATCTATTATGCGTCAGGGCTGATGTGTCGCGTTAGTTACGCGTCGCCGCTGACAACCCAGAATGTGGGCCGGTGTTGTGCCAAAAATCGATTGACTGCCAAATGGCGGCAGGGAGAGCGTGCACGGGAGGACTTTAACAAGAATTTAACAAGATTAATACTTAAAAACAATTATTGCTTTGCTTGAAAGTATAATAAAGGTGTGTCTCAGTCTAACTTTTACTTAATAAATGCACTTTGACGGTCAAGTCAGCTGCATTTTTCAAAAGCCGATAATGTAGAAACATGAACGCGCAGAGGGTGACTCGCTGTTCATTTCTTCAAAACTAAACAAGATAACCTCCTAAAAACAATTATTTGTTAATTGTTTTGGGGATTTTTCTACCTGGATTATTGAGCATGCATCAGGATAATTATTTGTTAGTTTGATTTTATAGAAAAGACGTGTCTCAGTTGAACTTTTACTTAATAATGCACTTCAGGGGTCAAATTAGCTGCATTTCACCGGGACGGTGCATCAAAATTAAGCTGATTTGACGGTTGCACCAGGCAGACGACGGTGGTAGGCTATGGCAATCCGACTGTCATTAATAGTCACTTTTACCTATGATATACATGATACAATGGCATGCCATGCTGCTCGACTGCCATCTAGCGGCTGAAAATGGTAGTGTTCAATAATTTCAGTCAGAATGAATGAAAACGGTAATTTCTCAGACAAAAAAATTGGTTTATAAATATGAGAAAAAATCCATAAATATGTTGTTTCATCATATAAGTTGCAGTGCATGTACATTATGCAAAAAAAATGGGACTTATAGGGCGAAAAATATGGTAATTCAGCATTGAAACCAACAAAACCATGTCTGTCAAGGGTAAAATCCAATATCATGGACTACCATGCTTTAATTCAAAATCTCAAATGATAGAAGTTAAAATATTTAACTACTAAATATTCAAGATAGCACTTTGTAATCTAAGTCTGTCTTTTTTTATGTGTGCATAAATGGACACAATTGCCATACAGTGGTCCCTCGTTTATTGCTGGGGATCCGTACCCTGAAGCCCCACGATAAGTGAAAAACTGTGAAGTAGGAATATAGCACACATTTTTAAATTAGTAGTTTAATAAAGGTGTTTTAAACCCTTCCCACACTCTTTCAATATTTTACAAATTGTTCTTAACTCTGAAAGCTCTAAAAAGAGCACAGAATGTTTTGATTTCAGCTCTCTGCCTCCTCTCTCCTGCACTTTGGCCACGCCCACTTCTCCCCTCTGCAGGAGATCAGCTGATCTCCGTGCAGTGCGGACATCAGCTGCAGAAGGAAGATTCTCACACAGCTGTGGGTTGCACACGGGTGCTAAATCATTTAAAATAATGAATTTTAAATGTAAAAAATCCATGACGATCATGTGGCTCACCCATCAATCATCCATTGTGTGTCGTGTTCAGTTACTTTGAAAAATCGCGATAGAGCGAGTCCGCAAAAAATAAGCCGCGAAGTAGCGAGGGACTACTGTACGTCCTTTTACTCTGTAGTTTTCTAGCCTGCACGAGGCAACAGTGAAGGGAAGGGGTGAAATTATTTGGAATTTAGTCAAAATTCTAAACCTATCAAATCAATGTCCTGGTTTTGATGGGTATAATGAGGCAAAGCTGCTTCAGTTCTCCCTGCTATTTATCTAGAGTCACACTCCGAATCATCTGAAACCTTGTTCAAACAGGAAACTCACTACAAGCTTCTTAATCCTGTTCTCCTAGTGTCTACTCTTTTTTTTTTTTCCTTTACCTTTTCCTGTCTGCCCCCTCTTAGCTTATATTTTATTTATCTCTTTAGGCATAACCAGCGCTCACTGGCAGTGCAGAAAGATCCGGTCCACAAGAATCGATGTCATGTACGATTTCCAGAGGTCTTCTCGTCCTACCCCTACATAGTTAATGTGACGGCAATAAATGCCTTGGGGAAAACATCTAACACTTACAGCTTTGAAGAGTCCAATATAGGTAAGACGGACGTGTCATTGTATTTTAATTTTACTGCCATTTTACTTCCCTGCGCATTTTGTTTGTCTTGTCTGTTAAAAGTGCACAAAATGATTCACGACACCAGCTAATGCTTGTTGGGGATAATTGTCGCTTACGTTTCCTCGTGGCATTTGGTTTCAAATTTAAAAAAGAAAATGTTTCAGAAATAGTTTCTTCAATCTGCAAAACATTAAAGTGTTTTATCAAAGTTTATTCACAGCTCAGTTCAAGGGGAAAGCAGATTTCTTTGTGTCAAAGAGACTGACGGGTTTTTGGCTGAGGAACAAAAAGGACTAAAAGGCAGAGTGTCAAAGCAACTCTTTGAAGATGCCAACACTTGAGATAATGCATTTGTTTAACCACAGATAACGGATGGCCTTCCCTTCTGGTTCCCTTTGGAGCTTTGCTACACACACAGCAATGCTTGTTGCAATGGAAGCAAAGGAAATTGAAGCTGTGATTGCCAAATAAATGTCACTAAATATTTCTTGTTGTTAGCAAGAAACCAACTGCTCGGGCACTCTTTTTTTTTAACCAAAATAACCAAATAATAACAGCAAAGTTTATGCTCAATAATCCAGGTAGAAATCCAACATTGTTCAGTCAGGTCACCTGAACGTTTTTTTGTTGTTGTTGTTTTTTTGGCTTAGACATTTCGTCTTTCATCCAAAGGACTTCTTCAATCAGAGAAGCCACCAAACAAACTGATTCTCACAAACAGAAAACTCCATAGTGGGGAAAAAAAAAAAAAAAAACAGTTTGCTGGTGCTAAGATGGCCTCTGGGGTCCGCCCTCACCCCCGTCAACTCCTCTGAGACAGTCAGGCCAAAGTGGTTCAAAGCACCAAAGTTCACAGACTTTAGAAACTTTGGTTTTCTCTATGGCGTATGCTTTTTGTAGGAACCAGTTTGTTTTGCTGGCTCCTCAGATTAAACAAGTCCTTTGGATGAAGGATGAAACGTCTCATAAAAAAAAGAAAAGAAACCGTTCAGATGACCTGACTGAACATTGTTGGATTTTTACCTGGATTATTGAGCATGAACGTTGGTGTTTTGAACCACTTTGGCATGACTGTCTCAAAGGAGTTGACAGGGGAAAGGGTGGGCACTGGAGGCCATTTTAGCACCAGCAAACCATTTTTTTTCCCACTATGGAGTATATTGTGTGTGGGAATCTGCTTGTTTGGTGTCTCCTCAGACTGAAGAAGTCCTTTGGATGGAGGATGAAATGTCTCAGCAAAAAAAAAAAAAAAAAAAAAAAGAAATGGTCAAGATGACCTGACTGAACATTGTTGTACCAACTAATAAATTCATAAACATTTTTGTACAGCAATTCCTATTAAACTCGTTATTGACAGGTTTGTAACTCCTCCATATCCTTTCTTTTTTTTTTTTTTTCCACCACATCCTCTAAACCAAAAAAAACAGCTGCTAAACAAGCACATTTTTTGTCATTCTAATAAAAAATCCAAATATAAAAGTTAGGTCTTCCTTTGGCCTATTGTGTAAGCCCCTTTTTTTGAAGAAGAAAAGCTGTTTTGATGGTAATATATTTGTTCAGAAGGCCACACAATAACAGGAATTATGGGATTCATCAGCAACTCTGACCGAAAAGGCATCGAAGAGAAGAAATTCATTTTAAGGGAGGAATGTGGAGAAGTCTGACAGATAAGAGAAGTGCTGGAAGCACTCCTCAGCTCTGTTGCTTTGATTTTAGAGCAATATTGGTTTGCATGACACATTCACCAACAGGGCTGTGAGCGTTCTGTGGGGAGTGTCGGCTGGAGGGGGGGAGGTAGTGTGGAGGTGGTTTTAAAAGACTGAGAGAGAGAGAAATTGTGTGTGTGTATGTGTGTGTGTGTGGGTGCTTATGTGTTTTCAAAAGTAACCAAATGAGGCAGTGACATGCTCTGCCAACCCCCGGACACAGGACTCATGAAAATGCTAATGGTAGCCGGATTAGCGCCTTGGCTGAGGAAATATCCCTTTTAGAGATATCAAAATACCCCACCGCTCCTTTCGTTGGATTTGCTGTTGCTCTCTTTCTTGTGTGCACTTCTTGTAACTTTGCAATCGCCCCTTTTTTTTTATTTTTATTGTTCCTTTGTTTTTTCTGCAGCTTTGTGTTCACCCTTTCATTATGAGCCAAATACTGTAGATCCTAATGAGATGGAAATCTCTTTAAGTGGTGATTTTATGGGTCTTGTGAACACTAGACTACTTTTCTTTTTCAAATAATCTAAAAACATCATCGGTTTGTCACGTAACGGGATAATTCCGAGCTTTTCAATTTATTTTCTATGGAAAGGGCATGACTGTGGTACCTGTTGTAGACCACGTTTTAAACAACATCAGAAAAAAAAAAAGTTTAATTCAAACTTGATTGATGAACTGACAACTAGTCTTGGCATGGACAAGAGAAAAAAGGCGATATTTTGCCACCTTGAAACAACTGCTATTTCAAGAATGTCATTGTGGTTACATAACTTTAGGTTGGCTAATAACAAAAAGCTCTTTATTTATAAGCAAAAAAACACATTTCAGCAGAAGCTGGCTGGGGCATTTCTGGTGTAGACAGGAGGACCTCCTGCATAATTATAATAATTTTGCCACTCTAACCATGTAAATTGTAAATAATGTCAAACTAAACTGTTTAAAACACTAACCAAAATATGTAAAATATTATTTGATCATAACATTTCTACAAAATCCTAATGAAAGATTTTGACTATTGTTTTAGGTCACAGGAGTAGATAAGTATA